ACTAGTATATGCATTAATCCATTTTCATTTTCAAAACACATTGTTCTTTCTATATACCCTATCATGACAAGAGACACCTAGGGAAAGCTATCATCTTGGTCCTGCCGTTAAGATATAATAAAATTATCTTAACAATTGTTATCACAAGGTTAACATTAGATGGTTTGGTAGGAGTGGATAATGTAGATATGTTTTTCATGAGTTCGAGTGCTACCATTACCATAATCATGTTTTTTTTTTTCACTTTTTTAAACGTGGTAAATAAATATATAAATTTTGTATTTTATCATATAAATAATGATTAGAAAATAATAGAATTTATTTTGACGCCCTATTTTATCCTAATAATAAGAGAATGTATTTATAATTATCCTAAATTACTAATAGTCTTTATTTTTACCAAATTTCAATATTTTGAAAAAGATTATATATAGCGGCGTCTTTGTCTCAAGACGCCGTTAAATGGAGGCGTCTGAGTTTCAGGACGCCGCTAAATGGAGGCGTCTTAGGTTAAGGACGCCGCTAACTGGAGGCGTCTGAGGTTTAGGACGCCGCCATATTTAATTCCATATTTACCCAATTTACATTTCTCGTGAACAATTAAATATGGCGGCATCTTGAACTTCAGACGCCTCCATTTAGTGGCGTCTAAGGCCAAGACGCTGCTATATTCTAACATTCAGCTTTACCCAATTTGCATTTCTCGAAAATAATTGAATATGGCGGTGTCATGAACATCAGACGCCTCCATTTAGCGGTGTCTTGAAACACAAACGCCTCCATTTAGAGGCATCTTGAACCACAGACACCTCCATTTAGCGACGCCGCAATATTTTATCCATCAGCTTTATCCAATTTGCCTTTCCCGGAAAAAATTAAATATGGCGGCGTCTTTAACCACAGACGCCACCATTTAGCGGCGTCTGGAGTCAAGACGCCTCCATTTAGCGGCGTCTTGATCCTCAGACGCCTCCATTTAGCGGAAAGACGCCACTATTTATCAATTTTAGAGAATAAAATGGCGGCGTTTGACGAAACGCCGCTGAATAAACGCCCCTATCTTAGCGTTTTTTTGTAGTGCCTAATATGTGTATGCATACACATATTAGCCTTGGCGTTACCCAATTTGCCTTTCCCGGAAAAAATTATATATGGCGGCGTCATTAACCTCAGACACCTCCATTTAGCGGAAAGACGCCACTATTTATCAATTTTTGAGAATAAAATGGCGGCGTTTGACGAAACGCCGCTGAATAAACGCCCCTATCTTAGCGTTTTTTTGTAGTGCCTAATATGTGTATGCATTCAAAGTTTTTAAAATGATTTGAACATAGATTTAATTTTCATGCATAAATTTAGGTTGAGTTAGTTTTAATTTTTGTTTTCATAGTTTTTCTGCACTAGTTTGCTAGGGACTAGCAAAATTTAGTGTGGGGGAAATTATGATCGAGACAAAATTAACCCTATTTTTATGATCATTTTCCTATGCTTTATAGTATTTTTATGTGTATTTTAACTATATTTTGCAAGTATTTTTGTTTTTAGGTCTTGAAAAGAAGAAAAGTGGAAACTTGTTGTTTTTCACTCTTTTTGGAGCTATTTTGATGACTTTTTACACAAATATGGACTTAGTAATTTGGAGTGAAGATTTGGAGATTTGAAGTTCGTGATTGAAGATTTATTGAAGATAATTTCAAGAATTGAAGACTATTGAAGAATTATTTCAAGAAGCAAAAATTGAGGATTGAGTTTAAATCGCGAAGGATTGAAGACAAATTATGAAGAAGCCTGGAAGCCTTTGAATTTTGGATATTTTATATGGGATAATACTCAGCCCATATAAGCCCACAATTGGAGTTAAAATCCCAATTTGTGCCGCACAAGCCCATAACTTTTGATCCAGACGTCCAAAAAATGTGTGTGAGTAAGCGTTGGAAAGAGGACTCCGAGATCTACAACTTTGCTTGGAAGCCCGAAGCCCAATTCTACCATCTTCAAGCCCGAAATTGCTGTCGAAATCTCTACACGATTCCATAATTTTCTAGAGTCCGAATTTCACTCTAATTTCGGTTCTAGGAAGACTTTTAAGCCAACTTGGAGACCAAGTCAAGCCTCTCTACAACTTTGCTTGGAAGCCCGAAGCCCAATTCTACCATCTTCAAGCCCGAAATTGCTGTCGAAATCTCTACACGATTCCATAATTTTCTAGAGTCCGAATTTCACTCTAATTTCGGTTCTAGGAAGACTTTTAAGCCAACTTGGAGACCAAGTCAAGCCTCTAAACCATCCTACACCCTTCCTGAGTCTATATGGAGTCTAGTTAGTCCACTATAAATAACCACCTTATGTAACCCTAGAGGAACAATCACAATTCTATTTTTCTCTTCTTTTATCGGTTTTCTTCTAGTTTTTAGGCTAAGGGAGTCGACACCCTCTCTTTGCATAGAGAGGTGTGATTTTCCCTAGGGTTTTGTCAAGAATATTTCGGCCCCAAGGTCCTGTAAGTTTTCTTATGCCTCTCACGGATTTTTCCAAATCCATGAGTAGCTAAATTCTTAATACTTTTTATCCTTTGGTGAATTTAATCAATTAATTATGGTGAGATTTGTGTGCTTATAATTTGATGTTTGTTCTTGATTGATAGTTTGTTATCTCTGTTTTAATCTTATGATATTGATGATTGTGAATTTAGACTGCAGTTATTGATATGATTTGATAGATCTATTGTTAAATCAAACTTTGAAGGATCTTCGGGTTTGATTGTTTGGTAACAATTAGAAGTGAAGGATCTTCCTTCCAAGGGATTAATAAACCTTATTTTTAATAAGTTTGGTTATACTTGTATGCATGCGTGATTAATTATAATTGTTCTTAATGCTTTATTCTTGGGCAATTATCACACCGGATCAAGAGGTAATTGTTTTAAGAATAAAAGGGATAAATCACACCGGATCAAGAGTTTTATCCAATTTGCATGTTAGGGTTTCCCTAGACCAATTATCAATTGGGAATAAAATATTAAATTCATCTTTTAAATCAAGGATCCATAGTTAATTTGATTGATTTCTACCAATGGAGAAGAAGTATACTTTCTTATTATTGTTTTCTTTATTAATTGCCATAGTTTAGATTTAATTTATTTGCTTTATTTTTAGTTTAATTGCTTTCTTTATAATTGTTTTATTTTATCCCATGTTTAAAAGTGATTTTTAGAGAAGATTTATTCTTTGGATAAGTTTATTCCCCTTCTCTGTGGGATTCGACCCATGCTTGCCCTATCTACTTAGTTAGGTTTTTGTGCGTATTATTTTTTGTGATTGCCGACGCCCGATCACCCAACAACTAATTTAAATTTTTTAACTAAGACCTAAACAAGCCCAATGCTTTAAAAATAAACAAGGCCCAAATTAAGAAATGGTACCCAACAAACAGTAGTGGGCCTGACAAGTTAAAAAATGGAGCCGGGTCGAGTTTGGTTAAGTGGCACCGTTTTGAACCAGATCCCCTAGTTTATTTTCTTTTCTTTTCTTTCTTTTTCCCTTCTTCTTCTCCACTTAGCTTCCCCGACCCTTCCTCCTTCTTCAGACCCTGATTCTCCCTTTTCTTTCTGCTTGCAGCACCGCCAAAGCACTTTGGTCCTCCATCGCCGTCGATGTTGAAACCGTCATTGGACCAAGCTCTCGCCATGGACTCTTCCTCTATTCCTATCTTCTTCCTTTCTTCTCACTTTGGCTCTAACCCAAAACCATGTCTCACTCTACTTGCAGCGCCACCGCGACCCAACTATCACCGTTCCCACACTGTGAACCATCCCAAACACCAGAAACGACCTTCATTTCCACTTCCTTTCTCTTTTCTCAAACCCACAATTACAGTAACCCAAAACCTAGCTTAACCCGAAGCCTAAAGTTAATTTCTATGTAAAATGACCTCCTTATTCTATATCCCCAATCCCTAAAGTTAATCTCACGAAAGGGTTACAGAGGTTTGATCCACAAAATGAAGCTCCAAAACCCTAATTTTTTTTTCTTTTCTCCAGACCTTCCTAAAACCCTACTGCCTTTTTCTCTCCTTTCTCCTCCTTCTTCATATGCTGAAAGTGATACTATTTAAAGCTCACTGGCCTCAAATCCTACGGTAAGTTCTTTTTCAATCTAACGGTGCTGTATTTTCTATTTATTTGATTTTACTCTTTACTTGCACTAATTTTCTCTTCTTTGTCGTTATTGAGCATGTGAAAATTGGTTGTGCACATGTGAGGTGAGGAGAGCTGGCATAGGTGCAGTTTCTTCCCGTTTTCCTTCTTTGGCTTTATTCCTTTTTTGTTTGTTTCTGATTACCACTTTGTTTCTCACGTGTTCTCTCTTCTTTGTAGGTGTCAGCTGGACTTGTAAGGCCAAACAGCATTTGTCAACTCACCTAGTGAGCTTCTCTCCTTCAAATCGAGGTAATGTACTCGGCTTTGAGCTACTCATGCACTGATTTTGCTGGTTGCGTGTGCTTTCCTTCTATTTCTGTTGACTCTGTTGTTGTTTTTCCTGTTGCACATTGTTGGCTATGTTGCTCTCTGTATGGACTGTGAATGCGTTACTTTCTTTCAGTTGAATTTTGGTGCCTTTGATTTACTTGAGAGCCATTGTATGCATAAGCATGTTTTACTTCTTGTTGGTTCATGTTGGATTGAAGCCCTTTGCTTCACAAGTGGTGCTATCATTTAGGAACATCTTGACATTGCACACACTACACTTTTAACTTTTGATACCTTTTATTCGAATCAAAGTTGACTCTGATCACTATGGCTTTTTCTGCGATTGTGGCTTTTGTTGTTGCTCTGTTTGATTTCCTTGTTGAAACATCTGTTTGATCCTCTCTGCTTTTAGTTGCTGCTTTGCATCGTAAATTGTAACATGTGATTGCTCTATAATTGCCTCTGTTTTGCTTCTGAAATGCCTTCTATTTCTTTTAGTTATTGCTTCCTATTCTGTTTGAGTGAACCTGTAATGCTTGAATGTTTTGAAAACATCAAAATGCTGATTATAGCTATGCAAGATCACGAATGCAAGAGATGCTTTGCTGAAAATGCAAGGATGGTGATAGATTGTGATGCGCCAAGGGCTTATCCTGGTCTTGAAGAACACAATGGAGACAACGGAGATCATGGAAAGGATGCTCAAGGAGTGCAAGGAAGCATGGACAATCTTAAAGGAGAGGATGGAATCGCAAATATGCCATTAGATGATGGAATCGCACCAAAGATGCCATTTGATCCTATGAAGATGCCTTTAGGTCCGATGACAAGAGCAAGGGCTAAGAAGTTCAAAGATGCATTAACAAGCTTTGTTCGAACTCATCTTGAAGGCTTGAAGTCCATTGAAGATCAATTGGAGAGCATTGAAGTCGATGGAAGCAAGAATATTCCCAATGATTCTAAGCTATGCACTTTGCTTGAAATCATTGAGTATTAGGGTTCTCATTGTGTAATTCGACCATATGGGCCTTAATTCTATCTTAGATTAGCTATTTAATTAGCCTAGAAGACATTGGGTTGGGCCTTGTTTGACTAAGTCCAATCCTTGCTTAATTAAGTTATGTTATTTACTTTTCCTAGTAGGATAAGGAGTAGGCTATTTCCTTGTTCCTTCCTTTATGTATTGCCGCCCTTAAGGCTTTAGGATTAGGGGATGTCGACTTTATGCCTATATAAAGGCACCGTCCCCCTCTTGTAAACACAAGTCAAGTTATCAATAAAATTGAGAGGTTTATTCACTCATATCGATTATTTGGCTTCACTGTTCTAGTTTGAGCAAACTTAGGGTTCTTCAATCTTGTAGAGTCCTAGCAAACAATTAGGTTGTGATTGCGTAATTGTTTGTGAATTGTGTGATCCTAAGTAGTCAATTGAAGGTCTAATTGAAGACTTAGGGCCGATGAGAGAAGAAGTAATGCTTTGTGAAGATTACCGACATACACATCTTGGTATTGAAGAAGTTCAAGTCGACTTTGGTGGCTATTCAAAGGGTAGATTTGAATCTAATACAACTAGATTCGTATCAATTGGTAATCAGAGCATAGGTTGTCATCTTCAATCGGTAAATCTATCCTTCTATTCATCATTCATCAAGTTTTTCATCCATCAAAGTTCATCTAGTTCATATCGCACCCTACCTTGAAAAATAAAAAATTCAGAAACTTTTAAAAAATCATTGTGGATTCATCTTAACTCCGTTTGCTTTGAAATTTCAGATTTGAATTCCTTATAACTATTAGTTATATTGAAAAATATCAAAAAAATAAAAAAAATAAAAAAATTCGACCAGAAACTTGTGATTTTTGTTCTGGATTCGTTTGAGCTTGGAAAGCTTTGAAATTTGAGCTGTAGACTTCTTTTAGTGTGATCTTTCTGGGAAAAATATTGAAAAAATCAAAAAAATTTGTGGCATTATCGACTTTTTGCAGAAACTAGGGTTTTTGAATTGGGAATTTGGGGATTAGGGTTTATCTTGTGCAATTGATTCAATTTGTTGCAATTAACCCTAATTGATTGTCTGATTGAGTATCTTGGGTTGCTTTTGATGTGATTTGAGATTTAATTTGAAGAATTTTCAGGTTGAAACCCTATTGGAGACAAGTGGTACAAAATTGGATTTAAGTGGTACTAGGGTTTTCTAATCGATTTGAATTGTTTGATTTGTGCTTGAATTGAGTTTTTGTGCAGCAAGTTTGGAGAAGGAATTCGACATAAGAGGCCTGCATAAGTGGTTTGGTTTTGGTTTAAGATCACTTTCCTTTGATTCACAAAAATTTTGCTACTGATTGTTTGTTCCTCAAGTAGGTCACGAAAAGAAAGGAGTTCTCTAGGAGTTGCTCTTATTAGGCCTATTGAAGCTAGTAAAAGGCATAATCTTGTGAGATCATCAAGAGAGTAGTGGACCGCCAATCCATAGGAATTGAGTGCAAAACACGAAAGCACAATCAAGGTATACACATGCACACACGTGAGGATTTTTACTACTAATCTTTGTTCTATTTGTAGGTACCATGGGAGACAATACTCCACAAGGAGAGCAAAATCAAGCGGATTTGGCTACTATGTTTCAAGCCCTAATGCAACGTATGGATGTACTATCCAATGATGTTCAACAAATCAAAGATAGGCAAAATCAACAAGCTCAACCTCCTCAACAAAGAGCCAATGCCTCCAACAACAATGAAAGAGTTCAACCTCCACAACCAAGACAAGTTGTTCCTAGAATTGATCCTATGGAGAGATTGAGGCAACAAGAGCTTGGGGGTCAAGCTTATAATGAGAATTTACGGCCTAGGAGGGGAATTGAAAGAGAGGAGCCAAAAGACAACATCAAATACAAAATCCCTAAATTCAATGGGAGGGGGACACCGGCGGATTACTTGGAGTGGGAGTCCGAATTGGATATGTACTTTGATTATCACCCCCATGCCGAATCCAAGAAGGTGCAAATTGCTACCCTTGATTTTTCGGAGAATGCTTTGAATTGGTGGAATCAATTAGTGCAATCAAGGGGAAGAAATTTGGAGAGACCTATTGATACTTGGTTGGAATTAAAGAGTCTTATGAGAAAGCGATTTGTTCCAAGCTATTATATCAACTCTCTTTATCAAAGCTTGCAATCTTTGAGGCAAGGAACAAGGAGTGTTGATGAGTACTATTCCGAGATGATGTTGTTGATGCCTAGGGCCGAAGTTGATGAAGCTCCACAAGCCACTATGGCTAGGTTTATGGCGGGTTTGAATAGAGATATTCTTGACATAGTGGAGATGCAACAACACTATGATGTTGAGGAATTACTTCAACATGCTTTGAAGGCCCAGAGTCAAGTCAAAAGGAATGGCGCTAAGAAGAGCTTTGCATCATCGTCAAGCTCATGGAAGACTCCAATTAAGAAAGATGAGAAATCATCCAACAAAGAGAAGGAGTTGGCGCAAAAGGGAGCAAGCCCTAAAACCGATTCTAAGTCTTCATCAAGTTCTTCTTCTAAGAATCATGTTAAGTGTTTTAAGTGTCAAGGATATGGTCATTATGCTAAGGATTGCGTTAACAAAAAGGTTATGTTCACTAATGACTATGGAGAAATTGAGAGTGAAGATGAAGAATTTGCACTAGGATCTAATGGTGATGGAGATGATGAAAAGGGATTTGCGTATGATGATGCAGATGATGATGATGGTAACACACCGACACTCTTGAACTTAGTTGCAAGAAGAACTTTAAGGGCCTATGTTAAAGGAGATGTTCACAATCAAAGGGAGAATTTGTTTCATACTAGATGTATGCGAATGGGAAGCCTAGTAGTGTGATCATTGATGGAGGAAGTTGTACAAACATAGCTAGTGTGTATTTAGTGAAGGAGTTGTCGTTGCCCACTACCAAACACCCTAAACCCTATAGTTTAGGATGGTTCAATGATAGAGAGGAGATTAAGGTTAACAAACAAGTTTTAGTTTCTCTTTCTTTAGGCAAGTACAATGATGAGGTGCTATGTGATGTTCCTCCAATGCAAGCATGCCATGTCTTACTTGGTCGACCATGGCAATATGACAACAAGGTATATCATGATGGTGAGACAAATTAGTATTCCTTTATGTGTGGTAAGCGTCCTATTACTTTGATTCCTTTATCACCTCAAGAAGCTTTAAAAGATCAAATAAAAGTGAGCGATGAATTTGCTAAGATGGAATCCGATTATAGGACTAAAGAAAAGAATAAACATGCTAATTTTAATGTGAATTGCGATTTGATTGATAAGCATTCTAGTTCTAAGAAAGTTGTTAAGGAGTGTATGTTAGCTACTAAGAGTGAGATTAAAAAAAGCTTTGAATGATAATTCTGTTTTGATCTTGCTTTTGCTTAAAAATACACTTGTTGCTACTAACAACTTGGAAAGAGAGCTTCCAAGCAACATTGTTTCTCTTTTGAGTGATTATGTAGATGTGTTTCCTGAGGAGATTCCTAGTGGTTTACCACCTATTAGGGGGATTGAACATCAAATTGACTTCATCCCTAGAGCACAAATAACTAATAAGCAAGCTTATAGGACAAATCTCGAAGAAACAAAGGAGTTAGAGAAGCAAGTTAGAGAGCTATTAAAAAAGGGTTTTGTTCGTGAAAGCCTTTCTCCATGTGCAGTTCCTGTTTTGCTTGTTCCTAAGAAGGATGGAACTTGGAGAATGTGTGTTGATTGTAGAGCAATAAACAACATAACGGTAAAGTATCATCACCCTATTCCTAGATTAGATGATATGCTTGATGAATTGCATGGTGCTTGTTTATTTTCAAAGATTGATCTTAAGAGTGGATATCATCAAATTCGCATGAAAGAGGGTGATGAATGGAAAACTGCCTTTAAAACTAAGCTAGGGTTGTATGAATGGTTAGTTATGTCTTTTGGATTGACTAATTCACCTAGTACTTTCATGAGGCGAATGAATCATGTTTTGAGAGCTTATATTGGTAGGTTTGTTGTTGTTTATTTTGATGATATACTTGTGTATAGCCGAAACCTAGATGAACATGTTGAACATTTGCGTTGTGTGTTAGATGTACTTAGGGTTGAGAAGTTGTATGCTAACCTTAAGAAGTTCACCTTTTGCACAAACAAGCTTGTTTTTCTTGGTTTTGTGGTGTCATCGCAAGGTATAGAAGTTGATGAGGAGAAGATCAAAGCAATCAAAGAATGGCCAACCCCCACCAACGTTGGTCAAGTGAGATCTTTTCATGGCTTCGCTGGGTTCTATAGGAGGTTTGTTAAGGACTTTAGCACCTTAGCCGCCCCTATTACTAGTGTGATGAAGAAGAATGCACCATTCAAGTGGGGAAAAGAACAACAAGAAGCATTTGAGACCTTGAAGGAAAAACTAACTAATGCTCCTTTGCTTGTTTTGCCTAACTTTAACAATACTTTTGGAATTGAATGTGATGCATCAGGGGTTGGAATTGGAGCTGTTCTAACGCAAGGTGGGAGGCCCGTAGCTTATTTTAGTGAGAAATTGAATGGGGCTGCATTGAATTATCCAACCTATGACAAAGAGTTGTATGCTCTTGTGAGAGCATTACAAACATGGCAACACTACCTTTGGCCTAAAGAGTTTGTGATTCACACGGATCATGAGAGTTTGAAGTACTTGAAAGGCCAACAAAAGTTGAACAAACGACATGCTAAGTGGAGTGAGCTCATTGAGAGTTTTCCTTATGTTGTGCGATAGAAGCAAGGTAAGGAGAATGTTGTAGCCGATGCTTTATCAAGGAGGTATGTCTTACTTTCCATGCCAGATTCTAAGTTTCTTGGATTTGAGTTTATAAGCATGATGGATTTTTGTTTAAAGAATCTAGATTGTGTGTGCCTTCTTGCTCATTGCGTTATGTTCTAATAAGGGAATCGCATGAAGGGGGTTTAATGGGTCACTTTGGAGTTGATAGAACTTATGAGATATTGCATGAATACTTCTTTTGGCCGAAGATGCGATATGATGTAGGAAAGCATGTTTCTAGTTGCATTGTTTGTTTGCAAGCTAAATCTACATCTAAGCCTTATGGATTGTATACTCCTTTGCCTATTCCTTATGAACCATGGACTCATATTAGCATGGATTTTTTGTTAGGTTTACCTCGTTCTAAGAGAGGTAAAGATTCTATCTTTGTGGTTGTTGATAGGTTTTCTAAGATGGCACACTTCATTGTATGTACTAAAACGGATGATGCCATTAATATAGCTAATTTGTTCTTTAAGGAGATTGTTACACAACATGGAATGCCTAGGACGATTGTGAGTGATAGAGATGCTAAGTTCTTAAGTCACTTTTGGAGGACATTATGGGCTAAGTTAGGTACTAAGTTGTTATTCTCAACAACTTGTCATCCTCAAACCGATGGCCAAACTGAAGTAGTTAATAGGACTTTGTCAACCTTGCTTAGGGCATTAATTAAGAAGAACTTAAGAACTTGGGAGGATTGTTTACCTGATTTTGAGTTTGCATAAAATAGAAGCATACATAGTACTACAGGATATTCACCTTTTGAAACTGTGTATGGTTTTAATCCTTAAACCCCATTGGATTTGTTGAGTTTACCTTTGAATGTGCAAGTCGACATGGATGGTGAAAGAAAGACCGATTTTGTTAAGGATCTTCATGCTAAGCTTAGAGCTCAAATTGAGAAGAAAACACAACACTACATGAAGGTTGCTAACAAAGGGCGCAAAGAGGTCATCTTTGAACCTGGAGATTGGGTTTGGTTGCATCTAAGGAAGGAGAGGTTCCCTGAAAAGAGAAAGTCTAAGCTCTTACCTCGTGGAGATGGTCCATTCCAAGTCTTGGAGAGAATCAACAACAATGCCTACAAGCTAGACCTTCCTAGTGAGTATGGCAATGTAAATCCTACTTTTAATGTTTCAGACTTATCCTTGTTTGATAGTGATGCAGATTTGAGGAAAAATCCTTTTCAAAGGAGAGGGGATGATGCGCCAAGGGCTTATCATGGTCTTGAAGAACACAATGGAGACGATGGAGATCATGGAAAGGATGCTCAAGGAGTGCAAGGAAGCATGGACAAGCTTAAAGGAGAGGATGGAATCGCAAAAATGCCATTAGATGATGGAATCGCACCAAAGATGCCATTTGATCCTTTGAAGATGCCTTTAGGTCCGATGACAAGAGCAAGGGCTAAGAAGTTCAAAGATGCATTAAAAAGCTTTGTTCGAACTCATCTTGAAGGCTTGAAGTCCATTGAAGATCAATTGGAAAGAATTGAAGTCGATGGAAGCAAGAATATTCCCAACAATTCCAAGCTATGCACTTTGCTTGAAATCGTTGAGTATTAGGGTTCTCATTGTGTAATTCGGCCATATGGGCCTTAATTCTATCTTAGATTAGCTATTTAATTAGCCTAGAAGACATTGGGTTGGACCTTGTTTGACTAAGTCCAATCCTTGCTTAATTAAGTTATGTTATTTACTTTTCCTAGTAGGACAAGGAGTAGGCTATTTCCTTGTTCTTTCCTCTATGTATTGCTGCCCTTAAGGCGTTAGGATTAGGGGAGGATGTCGACTTTATACCTATATGAAGGCACCATCCCCCTCTTGTAAACACAAGTCAAGTTATCAATAAAATTGAGAGGTTTATTCACTCATATCGATTATTTGGTTTTATTGTTCTAGTTTGAGCAAACTTAGGGTTCTCCAATCTTATAGAGACCTAGCAAACAATTAGGTTTTGATTGCGTATGCTACTAAGACTGAGTGAATGCAATTTGATAATGTATGCCAAAATGAGAAAATGTGCAATATGAATGAGATGATTGAATGCTGCAAAGTTTGGTTGGAAATATCTAAACGTTTAATGGAACCAATTTCTGGACTAAACTTGCGATGTAATGCAATGACTAATACTTTTAAGTGCTTAAAATGCTCTATTCTTCTTTATTGTATAATTGCTTTGTAAGTGTGTGAGTGTTGTGATTGATGCACGTAATTTGTAGGAACTGAAGACTGTTATTGTGTGATTGTTAGCGTGAAACAAAGTATAACTTAATATGCAATGCATGACATGATTTATATTAAAGAGGAACTGCCATAATTTGAGCGTTTGATGTATGGGAATGCTCTATTTTTGTATTTTGGTGCATGTTTAAATGCGGAATGTGATTATGTATGCTGCAAATTGGACATGAGTGAAGGATGATGAAAATGCAGAATTATGCTTGATAAAGTGTAATGAAAAGGTGTAGAAACATTGAGTGAGATTTTTTGGAGATGCTAGTTAAGGATGCTGTACGTGAGACTAATTTCTCTTTCCCTATTCTTATTGACAGAATTCTCGAAGGGCATTTGTAAGTAACAAAATCTGATATGGGGAGTTCAAATGAAGAAACACTATTTAAAAGTTTTAGGATCACCAATTTGAAGATTTAAGAGAAGTAGAGAGTAATTTTGGAGACAAATTCCAATTAGGAGAAAGAGCATTTGAGCTCCTATTAGACTTGGAGTTATTCCATTTTTGTACTTTTTGTGATTAAGAAAGGAAAAAGAAAAATGTAAATTTTTGTACTTTGATAAACTGCAAGATGTAAATGGAACCCTATTTTTTTACTTTTTGATCTTGTAAGTGAAAGCAAATTTTCAAGAAAACCATATAGAAAATATAAACCTAACTTTCATGGTTGGACTTTTTAACCCAAACAAATCAACCACATACATATTAATAAACAAGAAGGTTAGACCAACTTACCTTTATCCATAGCCTTTCCAGAAAATCTTGAACAGGGTGATTTTCTCCTTTCTTCCTTCTACTTTAATTGTTTCTCTGATGGATGAGAAACCCTAGCCGTCAAGTGTTTTTTACGTTATGAAGGGAAAGGAGAGGGTTCATCCCTTTTATATAGCAAACCCCTTTAGGTCCTAACCCTATTAGGATTATTAAAACCTTATGGACCTCTCTAAGGCCTTGTCTAACTAGGATTTTAAGTCCATCAGTTAAAACCTTTAATGACAAGGAAAACCCAAAGTTATATGGGCCAAACCAATTAAATTAAAATTAATTCCAACAATCTCCCACTTGGCCCATATAATGACTTGAAGATTCAATATACTTTAAGTGCGCATTTTATATTGAATTTCTCATGTCATAATCCTTTGATTGAATTGAATTAATCGGATCATGGCGGTCACAAGTCTAATAATGACTTGATCCCTTCCATGTATCACATAATTAACCAGTTCAAGATGGCCTTATGGAGAATAACCATAATTGAGGAACACTATAATCCTCATATAATGTCATCACACAAAACAATAATGTATACAATATAATGTGGATAACAAATAATAAGCAGAAACACAACTTTAACTGAATTCATCCAGTGTCATAACTGTAAGAGCAAGACTATTTAATGTATATATATACAAAATGCTATCATGCTAACAAGGACTTATCTATAAGGCCCATTCTTTCAACATGCCCTACAAATGTTTTGGGCGGTACTCCCTTAGTTAACGGATCCGCTACCATCAAGTCAGTACCAATATGCTCAATAGACACTGTGCGTTTCTGTACTTCTTCCTTTACAGACAGATACTTTAAATCCATATGTTTAGCACCTTTCGAGTATTTGTCATTCTTTGAGAAGAAGACAGCTGCGGAATTGTCACAGAAAATTCTCAGCGGCTTAGCTATACTATCAACAACTCCAAACCATGAGATAAAGTTCCGCAACCACATTCCATGAACCGTAGCCTCAAAGCATGCCACAAATTCAGCTTCCATGGTGGAAGTAGCAATAACTGACTGCTTTCCACTCTTCCATGATACTGCTCCTCTGGCTAACAGGAACAAGTAACCAAATGTTGATTTTCTTGAGTCGACACAACCAGCATAGTCTGAATCCGAGTAACCAATCACCTGAAGATGATCTTTTCTCCTATACGTGAGCATGTAATCCTTGGTGCCTTGTAAGTACCTAAGGACTTTCTTTGCAGCTTTCCAGTGGTCCATTCCGAGATTACTTTGATATCGGCCTAACATTCCAACAGCGAAGCTGATATGTGGCCGAGTAAAGGTCTAGGCGTACATTAAGCTTCCAACCACTGATGCATAGGGAATATATTCCATAGCCTTTCATTCCAAATCATTTTTAGGACATTGCAATTTGACTGAACTTGTCCCCTTTCTGAATTGGAACTATTCCAGCAGAACATTTTTCCATTCTGAATCTCTCTAACACTTTATTGATGTAGCTTTTCTGAGACAATCCTAACAATCCTTGTGATCTAGCACGGAATATTTCAAACCCAATCACATAGGATGCCTCACCCATATCTTTCATTTCAAATTTGTTAGAGAGAAACTTCTTTACATCATGTAACAACCCAACGTCATTAGTAGCAAGAAGAATATCATCAACATATAGGACTAATATAATGAACTTACTCCCACAGACCTTCATATAGATACACCGATTAACAGTGTTTTCTACAAAACCGTATGACTTTATGGTATCGTTGAACTTAAGATACCATTGTCTGGAAGCTTGTTTCAATCCATATATTGGCTTATTTAACTTACACACCAACTTTTCTTTTCCTATGGTCAAAAAACCTTCAGGTTGGTCCATATATACCTCTTCTTCCAAGTTACCATTTAGAAAGGAGGTCTTTACATCCATTTGGTGAAGCTCCAAATCATAATGAGCCACCAAAGCCATAACAATCCTTAAAGAGTCTTTCTTTGAAACTGGAGAGAAAGTCTCTTTGTAGTCAATGCCATCCTTTTAAGTGTAACCCTTGGCGAAAAGTCTGGCCTTATATCTTTCTATGTTGCCTTTCGAGTCTCTTTTGGTCTTGAAGACCCATTTACAACCAACTCGTTTTGAACCTTCAGGCAACTCAATTAATTCCCAGACTTTGTTGTCATCCATTGATTTTAACTCTTCTTTCATGGCATTTAACCACTTTTCGGAATTGTTGCATTCCATCGCTTGTTTGAACGAGACTAGGTCATCATCAATGCTCAAGTCACATTCATGTTCAATTGAGTAAACCTCAAAATCCTGCGAAATAGCTGGTCTTCTTTGCCTTACAGACCTCCTTAATGCCACTTCTTGTGGTTCATTTATCGTTTGCTCAATTTCAACTTGTACATTATTTGCTGGTTCATCTTGTTGATTTGGAGGATCAACACCTTCATGTTCACCTTGTGGGTTTGTAACATGAATTCGTTGTTCTCGTACGTTGTGCAACTGTGATACAACGAGAGGAACAACAACTTGATGAGAATCATTGGACGTAGGGATTTCACCCTGAATTTCTTTAATGTCCACTTTTCTTTGTTCTCCACTCCCACTGAACTGACCATTCTCAATGAACCTAGCATTCCCAGACTAAACTATTCTCGTACTATGGTTAGGACAGTAAAATCTATAACCCTTTGACTTTTCTGGATAGCCAATGAAGTAACCGCTAATGGTTCTTGCATCAAGCTTCTTTTCATGTTGTCGGAACGTGTGGGTCCGGGAACCCCACCGCAACGACTTAATTGACCGGGAGTCGCCACTAATCTTTTTTTTCCCCTAAGTGTGATTAGCCACCTACTGATTATTAGACATATTGTACCCTGAGCTTGGCGACGGACACACTAAATCTAATATGACGGTCTACGAACAAAAATCTCGGTTCGGGAGTCGGTTACTTGGGGGGAAGGATTAGCACCCCCCACAACGCCCGTCAAAAACGGTACTGAAAGTCTAGTACTAATCTTGAATTTCCCTAAATTGGTTGCTTTTAATCCAATCTCATTTTTTTTGTATTTTTTTTAACCTTAAACCTTTTATTTCTATCCTTCTTTTTTCAAAAAATTTTTCAATTTTTTTTTATCTTTTACTTTTTAAATTTTTTTTGAGTTTTTTTTTCTTGAATTATACTTAGCCAAATTTCAAAACTAAAGTGGGTCCTCTAAATATGATGCAAATGATGCATGGACCGTCAATTTATTGAGCAAAAATGAACATTTAACCGAGAACATCCAACGCAAACTACGGCCCGTGCACCGGTGTAGTTTTCGTGGCATCTCGACCTAGAGAATCCCTTTCGGGGATTCCCATCGTCGGAATAAATGTTCATTACCCATTTATTTAACTCACGTGAATGCCATTTTATAACTCATGAATGATCATTAAGTAAAAAGACACTTAACCGACGTCACTTCATAAATCGCGATCCAACCAATAAGACGATGTATAAAGCGGTCTCGACCTAGGAAATCCCTTTCGAGGACCCCATTGTCGGAAATAAGTCGTCGTTTACGAAATGATCTATAGCATATAACAATG